GTCATCTTTTTTAAAAAAAGGAAAAACAATCTAAGGAATGTAAGGTCTGTTAAATTTAACAGGCTCAGAGAGATGTGAGCATAGGGCTTTAGTCAAGTCCCCCTTATCTGTATCTGAGATAATTGCTAAAAGCAGCAGTTTACTAATCCAGCTGGCTCGGCTGGAGGTTGTAAATTGTCCAGATGTTTACCATTGTGACCCTCGCCCTTTTCTTCAATGCAATGTTCCCATAATTATGATACAAAGAACAATGTATGTCCAAGTAGTAGCTTATGTTGTTTTAATGAACCAATGTAAATGCTTGAAAAACAACTTTGGAACTGCCCCTTTAAAATTCTCTTTTCCATTAAATATTACTGACTTCTGTTCTCTGGAATACATGCTCAAGGCATTTGGGTTTGTGCTTCCCAGGTTGCAATCCTATTTGGCCCAAATAAGCCTTTTGCTTTATATATCATGCCTCAGTTTCTCTTTTAGGTAGACAACTTTATCACAGGTATGTTGTATCAGAACAAACACAGTATATACAGGGTTTGGTACTATACATGGTTTCAGGCATCCACTGGGAGTCTTGGAATGTTTCCCCCATGGATAAAGGTGTGGTCATGGGAAAACACCTGCAGGATCTTTGTCTACTGTGCATACCCAAAGAAACACGACGACAGGGTGGGGCAATTCCAGCACGCAACAGAAAGGAACTTTTATATTTGGGTCTCATGACCCACAAAGATTCCCATGAAGATGGAGATCACTTTAAAGGGTCTAGCTACTGGCACTTACACATGTTTAATGGGCTGGTTTATTTCTACCGTATTCAAGTGTGGTTGAGTGCACGCATGCAGTGAGGCTTCGTGTATGTTACATGTGACTCATGTTCTCTTGGGGGTGGAGATTTAAGCATTAAAACAAGGGAGAAGTGTTGGCCTTATGTTGTCAGAAGGTGGAATTTCAGGCAAAGTTGAGACTTGTGCACAGACTCCCTGATTCAGCCCAAACTGGTTAAGACTAACTGGGAGGTGGCCTTGGTGGTTATCACAGGAAGGCTGTCTCGCCCAATCAGAATTTTTGAATGAAAGGGAGGAAAGAAGAAAGACTAATTTGGGAGAGAAAGGAAGGAAGGGTTAGCTCTTACTCAAAAAGCAATGGAGGTTGGTAGCTCTAAAGGGGGGGACTATTGTAAACTAGATCATGTACATAAGGTGTTTAGCACAGTGCCTGGCACCTAAAGATGTCATTATCATCAGTATTATTAAAATAGGAATTATTTAAATTTGAATTTCAGACAACAAATAATCGAATGTCCCAATTTCCCTGAACCCTCTGGCTTAGCAAAAGCATTCCTTCCCCCTTGCTAGAGGTGAGTAGCCTCTTTTTTGCTTGGAGACCATGCAAAGATCTCACCTGGGAAGATACCTCTCAAGATAATTTGTCCTTCTCCTCAAAAAAAAAAAAAAAAAAAAAATCTGTCTCCTC